GCATAATGTTTTTCTTTTTTTGTTCTTGTTTTACAAAAGGAACCTCAGGGGGGGGAACCCGGTTTGGCTGGGATGCATGATCTCATATCTAGGATGGACGAGTTTGCAGAATATATATATATATATATATATATATATATGAAATCATACTATCCCAGGGGGAGCCGATAAGTCCGGGGGGATGAGGGGGGCAGAATCTGTTAATCTTTTAGAAAGGAGAATCTATGTTGTGCAACTCGTGTCTGTTCGCCGTGAACTGTCCACTCCACTGCTCGCGCAATCTTCCCACCCACCCTCCTGCAATTTGGTTTGCAAAAACCCATGCGGCGGCGATTGCAATGAATGCTCGAAATTGGTTGATGCATCTCTGCGGCCGCGCGAGCCCGTGCATGCTCGCGCGCGCAACGGCCATATAGTTTGGCGCCGCTGGCACGGGCCGCGGTGGCGCTGCCCGCTGGGAAATTCCCAGCGGGCACTTCAGTGCGAGTCGGCGATTTGGGCGGGCGCAGTCTCATGGCAATGTCGACAATGGTAGACTCGATGGTGGTGGTAGCGATGCTTGCGACGATGATGACAACGACGACGGCAACGCCCCTGACGGCGCTGATGCTGATCACGCCGACGACGATGACGACGCCTTCGCGTCGGCGATGAAGGTCCTTGGAGGGAATTCGACATTTGCGCGCGGCCGACGCGCGAGAGTGGCCCGCCCTCTGTTATTTTACACGGACCGTGCCCCCCACAGCACGCGCGCAAAGGCGTCCGAACGATTTTGACGTGCGGCGCGAAAGGCTCGCTTGGCCGGATGTGACGGAAACTTTGAACACAGCTCAAGCAGTGTTGAAGACTGGTGTTGCAAAATCATTGTTCCATATATTGTGGGGCATCCGTTTGTGAAATCACTACAGCATCGAAGGTTTTGGAAGGAGGTTGAAAAACCTGAGGTCTCTTCAGACTTCACAAAAGCGCGGGCGCCAGCAGCTTTTGTTGAACAGTCTTGTTGCGAAACCATGCGATTATTCCCAACCATCCTGGGGTGTTGGGTCCTCTTTTTGAAGAGACAGCGCCCCGCGTCCCTCCCGCCTCCGCCTCCTCCTCCTCCTCCTCCCCCTCCCACTCCTCCTCCTCCTCCTCCTCCTCCTCCCCCTCCCACTCCTCCTCCTCCTCCTCCTCCTCCTCCTCCTCCTCCTCCTCCTCCTCCTCCTCCTCCTCCCTCCTGCTTCCCGTCAAGGCCTCTGCCCACCGCATGCCCATCCCATTTCGGCGCACCCCTTACAGGGTTCGTGGCCCCGTAGGAGCTCCACCGAAGGCCCCAGTGGCAGCGTTCGCATGCAGTTCCACCCTCATTTCGGCGCACCCCTCACAGGGTTCGTGGCCCCACAGGGAGCTCCACCGAAGGCCCGAGCGGCAGCGTTCGCATGCAGTTCCACCCTCATTTCGGCACACCCCTCACAAGGTTCTTGGAACCATAGGGAGCTCCACTGGAGGCCCCAGTGGCAGCGTTCGCATGCAGTTCCACCCTCATTTCGGCGCACCCCTCACAGGGTTCGTGGCCTCATAGGGGGCTCCACCGAAGGCCCCAGTGGCAGCGTTCGCATGCAGTTCCACCCTCATTTCGGCGCACCCCTCACAGGGTTCGTGGCCCCACAGGGAGCACCACGGAAGGCCCCAGTGGCAGCGTTCGCATGCAGTTCCATCCTTATTTCGGCGCACCCCTCGCAGGGTTCGTGACCCCACAAGGGGAGCTACATCGAAGGCACCAGTGGCAGTGTTCGCATGCAGTTCCACCCTCATGTCGGCTCACCCCTCGCAGGGTTCGTGGCCCCACAGGGAGCCCCACCGAAGGCCCAAGCGGCAGCGTTCGCATGCAGTTCCACCCTCATTTCGGCACACCCCTCACAGGGGTCGTGGCCCCACAGGGAGCTCCACCGGAGGCCCCAGCGGCAGCGTTCGCATGCAGTTCCAGCCTCATTTCGGCGCACCCCTCACAGGGTTCGTGGCCCCATAGGGAGCTCCACCGAAGGCCCCAGTGGCAGCGTTCGCATGCAGTTCCACCCTCATTTCGGCGCACCCCTCACAGGGTTCGTGACACCATAGAGAGCTCCACCGAAGGCCCCAGTGGCAGCGTTCGCATGCAGTTCCACCTTCATTTCGGCGCACCCTTCACAGGGTTCGTGGCCCTATAGGGAGCTCCACCGAAGGCCCCAGTGGCAGGGTTCGCATGCAGTTCCACCCTCATTTCGGCGCACCCCTCACAGGGTTCGTGGCCACACAGGGAGCTCCACGGAAGGCCCCAGTGGCAGCGTTCGCATGCAGTTCCATCCTTATTTCGGCGCACCCCTCGCAGGGTTCGTGGCCCCACAAGGGGAGCTCCATCGAAGGCACCAGTGGCAGCGTTCGCATGCAGTTCCACCCTCATTTCGGCGCACCCCTCACAGGGTTCGTGGCCCCATAGGGAGCTCCACCGAAGGCCCGAGTGGCAGCGTTCGCATTCAGTTCCACCCTCCTGTCGGCGCACCCCTCCAAAGGTTCGTAGCCCCACAAGGAGCTCCACTGCATATGGTTGGGTCCCTCGCCAGTCTAATGTTACGGGACATGGGATTTTGAAATCGCTACGACAGCTGACGCTTTTGACATATTTCGGCGAACGCCCGCGACGTCGCGCGCGCGTGAGCTTCGTCCCATGTTCAACAAGGGTTTCTTCAAACTTATTGTTGCCAACCATCCTGTGGTGTTGGGTCCTCGCTTTGAAGAGACAGCGCCCCGCGTCCCTGCGGCCTCCTCCTCCTCCTCCTCCTCCTCCTCCTCCTCCCTCCTGCTTCCCATCCTTGCGTCTGCTCTCCGCATGCCCATCCAATTTCGGCGAACCCCTCACAGGGTTCGTGACCCCATAGGGAGCTCCCCCGAAGGCCCCAGTGGCAGCGTTCGCATGCAGTTCCACCCTCATTGCGGCGCACCCCTCACAGGGTTCGTGGCCCCATAGGGAGCTCCACCGAAGGCCCGAGCGGCAGCGTTCGCATGCAGTTCCACCCTCATTTCGGCACACCCCTCACAGGATTCTTGGCCCCATGGGGAGCTCCACCGAAGGCCCCAGTGGCAGCGTTCGCATGCAGTTCCACCCTTTTTTCGGCGCACCCCTCACAAGGTTCGTGGCCCCACAGGGAGCTCCACGGAAGGCCCCAGTGGCAGCGTTCGCATGCAGTTCCATCCTTATTTCGGCGCACCCCTCGCAGGGTTCGTGGCCCCACAAGGGGAGCTCCATCGAAGGCACCAGTGGCAGCGTTCGCATGCAGTTCCACCCTCATTTCGGCTCACCCCTCACAGGGTTCGTGGCCCCATAGGGAGCTCCACCGAAAGCCCCAGTGGCAGCGTTCGCATGCAGTTCCACCCTCATTTCGGCCCACCCCTCACAAGGTTCGTGGCCCCATAGGGAGCTCCACCGAAGGCCCCAGTGGCAGCGTTCGCATGCAGTTCCATCCTCATTTCGGCACACCCCTCACAAGGTACGTGGTCCCATAGGGAGCTCCACCGAAGGTCCGAGCGGCAGCGTTCGCATGCAGCTCCACCCTCATTTCGGCGCACCCATCATAGGGTTCGTGGCCCGATAGGGAGCTCCACCGAAAGCCCCAGTGGCAGCGTTCGCATGCAGTTCCACCTTCATTTCGGCGCACCCTTCACAGGGTTCGTGGCCCCACAGGGAGCTCCACGGAAGGCCCCAGTGGCAGCGTTCGCATGCAGTTCCACCCTCATTTCGGCGCACACCTCACAAGGTACGTGGTCCCATAGGGAGCTCCACCGAAGGCCCGAGCGGCAGCGTTCGCATGCAGTTCCACCATCATTTCGGCGCACCCCTCAAAAGGTTCGTGGCCCCACAGGGAGCTCCACAGAAGACGGTACTCACAAGTGCGGCACTCACAACTGCATATGGTTGGGTCCTTCGCCAGGCTAATTTTTGGATAGACGAGCGCGCGCATGGTATTTTCTGCAGAGGATGAGGGGGGGGAACCGTTCCTGACCTGCCTGGGATGGTATGAGTTCGCAATTACGATGGACGATGGGGCAGAATCGTATGTAAATTGCAAAACGAAAAGGGGGCGATTACATCTGGGAGGGAGATCGAATGTTCTTTTCGAAACGGGAATCAATGTCGGGGATGAGACGGCGGCAACATGGCCGCCAGACTGACAGACCGGGCCAAGCACGGGCGACGACACGGCGACGGCGGGGCGGCGATGGCGGCCAAGTCTTGACGGCGACGGCTGAAACATAGCCGCCAGACCGACAGACCGGCCCAGCTCCTCAATAACAAGGAAGAGCCCCTATGTGCAAATACTGCTTGGGGATTCTATACATGTACGTAAAGATATGGGCGCATGTATCTGGACATACCTACATATGTATTCATGTGTATATATATATAGAGAGAGAGAGAGAGAGAGAGAGAGAGAGAGAGAGAGAGAGAAATAAAGAAAACACAACTAATAACAATTCATAGACGAGATACAATATTTGAGTGAGGGAGATGACGAGGAAGGGTGACGAACAGACAGAAGCTGAGACACGAAGGTGGTGCTCAAGACAATGCGCAGAAGTGGAGAGGGTCTTGAACTCCTCCTGGTTTTCCCTCCTGCGCTGCTGCTGCGCTGCTGCTGCGCTGGCATGATGGCGAGCTTTGCTGCAGGCAGTTTGATCAAGAGAGCGACGATTCAAGAACACGTGGAACATTAACACTCGTTGGAACGAATACTCGCGCCCAGAACACGCACGCATCCTCTGCGCATTTGGTGTTGCCGCAATCGCTGCCAACGCGCCGTGCCCAAGACTGCTGTAAGCGCCACCTGTGCGGTGATATGTCAAAACGTGCCCCTTTGCACACACCTCTGCATACCAAATCCGTGTTGCCACGCACCGCGAAAATGCACAGCGCCTGCAAAACTAACCAACACAACATGAGGCATCGCGATGCACGTAGACACGCAGGTGAAATTACGTCGCAATGCCTCGGGATGCGTAATGTACTCGAAGAACTCCTCGTAGCAACAATTTGAAACAAGGTCTGCGCAGCACACGAGAACGAACCAGGCACCACGATGCCCCAAGAGCTCTGCTGTTCCGGGTGTCGCGTCCCGCCACCCACGCCCCTCCCTCCCTGAATTCTGCGGTTCGCGCCCGTTGAGCACACCAAGACCGACTGGTCCCCCCTCCCGCCCCCCCCCCTCCGTCCCGCCCGCCTCCGCGTGAGCTCTGCCACGGTTGCGCTCGGACCCGGAAGCTCTCCTTCCTCATCCCTCTACCTTCCACTTCCAGTGCCCCCACGGCCTTCGATAAGAGAACCTTGGCTCACGAAACTCAGGCCATGGTTTGGCCTGATTTTGCCCGCTCCGCATGCCCAGGAGGGAGGCATAACTTGAGAAACTGGCAGGGGCTCGCCAGGGATCGCCACTTCCCCATCCAAGGCCATGGGTGTGCTCCTCTCGGTCTTCGCTGAGGCTGCCGTGGCGTAAGCCGTTCGCGCGCCATCCCAGGGGAATCTCGAGAGCCCGCGTGCCGACGGTGCCCGAGAGACTGCCCGGCCTCCTCACGCCAGGGAGGGCTCGTGCCCACATCGCGCGCGCACGGCAGAGCTGGGCCCTCCTCCCTCTCCCGTCCGCCCCCCCTACTCCTAGACTTAGGTCGGGCGTGCCCCCCTACAGGCGGATTCTGGACGAAGGATTAAAAAAAGTCCAGGGATGCTCAAAAATAGCCAAACATGGTCAACACATCGTCCCTGGACTAATTTTTGACTATTTTGAATCTCCTCCTGTACAGAGACAGGCCCGACTTAACGCTATTCCTGCATCCTCCCTCCTCCCTCTCCCGTCCACCCCACTCTACTCCTAGACTTAGGTCGGGCGTGCCCACCTACAGGCTGACCTTGGCCGAGGCATAAACAATGATCCTGGCGAAAGGCCCAACCATACGCAGGTGTGAGAACCGCAGGGCAAGCGGGACGAAAAAAGGAGTTCCCAATGGGGCCCCGAACCGTGTGAGAGGTGCGCCAAAATGGGGCGGGGCCGCCATGCGAACCCTGCCACTGGGGCCTTCGGTGGAGCTCCCTATGAGACCACGAACCGTGTGAAAGCTGCGCCAAAATTGGGCGGGGCCGCCATGCGAATCCTGCCACTGGGCCCTTCGGTGGCGCCCCCTATGAGGCCACGAACCGTGTAAGGGCTGCGCCCAAATGGGGCTGGGCCGCCATGCGAACCCTGCCACTGGGGCCTTCGGTGGAGCTCTCTATGGGGCCACGAACCGTGTGAGGGGTGCGCCTGGGGCGGGGCCGCCATGCGAAGCCTGCCACGGGGGCCTTCGGTGGAGCCCCCTATGGGCCCATGAACCGTGTGAGGGGTGCGCCAAAATGGGGCGGGGCCGCCATGCGAACCCTGCCACTGAATCCTTCGGTGGAGCTCCCTATGGGGCCACGAACCGTGTGAAGGCTGTGCCAAAATGGGGCTGGGCCGCCATGCGAACGCTGCCACTTGGGCCTACGGTGGAGCTCCCTATGGGGCCACGAACCGTGTGAGGGGTGCGCCGAAATGATGCGGGGCCACCATGCGAACCCTGCACCTCGGGCCTTCGGTGGAGCCCCCTATGAGGCCACGAACCCTGTGAGGGGTGCGCCAAAATGGGGCCGGGCCGCCATGCGAACCCTGCCACTGGGACCTTCGGTGGAGCTCCCTGTGGGGCCACGAACCGTGTGAAAGGTGCGCCGAAATGAGGCGGGGCCGCCATGCGAACCCTGCCACTGGGGCCTTCGGTGGAGCCCCCTTATGGGCACATGAACCGTGTGAGGGGTGCGCAAAAATGGGGCGGGGCCGCCATGCGAACCCTGCCACTGGGGCCTTCGGTGGAGCTCCCCATGGGGCCACGAGCCGTGTGAGGGGTGCGCCAGAATGGAGCGGGGCCGCCATGCGAACCCTGCCACGGGGGCCTACGGTGGAGCTCCCTATGGCGCCACGAACCGTGTGAGGGGTGCGCCGGCATGCGGGGCCGCCATCGAACCCTGCCACGGGGGCCTTCGGTGGAGCTCCCTGTGGGGCCACGAACCTTGTGAGGGGTGCGCCAAAATGGGGCGGGGCCGCCATGCGAACCCTGCCACTGGGGCCTTCGGTGGAGCTCCCTATGGGGCCACGAAACGGTGTACTGGGTGGATGAAACGCAGGGAGGAGGGAGGCAGCGGGAGGAGAATGAAGGAAGGAAGGAGGACGCGCGCGCTGTCTCTTCAAAACACGGACCCAACACCACAGGATGGTTGGGGAAAAATCAAGAGATGCTCAAACATAGCCAAACATATTCAACACATCGTCCCTTGACTATTGTTTTAACTATTTTGCGTATTCCTCCTGTGGAAGGACAGGCCTGGCTTAACGCTATTCCTGCATCCTCCCTCCTCCCTCTCCCGTCCGCCCTCCTCAACTCCTAGACTCCTGCACCATGCCTGTGGCGCCTCTCCGTGGCGGGCGAGCCACGGCATCAATTTCCACGGCGTTCTTAGATGCACACATCGAACATCAAACGCCACATCCGTTTCGAAAAACAAGGTGGACTTACCAATCGGCATGAACAAAACACACCGTGGGCTACGCATCCATCTCAGCGCGTGTTCCGTGCTGAACGGGGCATTGCATGCACCCGGAAGCTCACTGATGTCCTCGTAGGAGATTTGCCCGTCGTGCGATGTATCAAGATCGGCCATAATGCTGTCTACCTCTTCCTCTTTGAACACGTCGCCCAACACCTGGGGTGCTGAGTATGTGAAGCGGGATCACGAATGGAGAGGGTTAGGCGGACAGGTCCATGGGCTTCGGATGATGACAACGATAAGGAACCAAAGGACCACAGCATACCCACGCCCCACGCGCGCCATGCATGCACACACATACACAGATGCGCCTACAGTCGGACTTGACTGGACAGGACACGCGAGAGGACACGAGACCCCTCCAAGGGTCACATTGCCACAGGAATGCAGGAAGCACGGGTCGCGAGACACGGGACACAAGGGTACCCTTGATTTGGCAAGGTCGACCTACTAATCCGGGCCGACTGTATGTCTACCTACCAGACCACCCCAACCCAACCCGAAGACCCGAATTTCGGGTTGGGGGGGTACGGGTTCCACATGTGCTTTCTCGATGTTCCCCGACCCCGCCCCCAACTGGAAATGGAGGGCAAATCGAGACCTTCGGGTTGGGTTGGGGTGGTTCGGTGGGTGGTGACTGTACGCATGCCCCACGCCTCACAGCCATTGGCCTCCCCTGTGACAGCGCGCAACGCGCGTATGGAGCCGCCGCCGGACCTGGCGGCGAGCGGTGCCCGTGCAGAGGGTGCGGCGGGCCCAGGCGTGGGCAGCCACTGGCCCTTCCCCCCCCCCCTCGAGCACCTCTGGGCGTAACACGGGCGAGAGGCACGACAGGGGGCTCCTTGGGTGGCCCGACTCCGTGGGTCCTCCTCCTCCTACTCCTCCTCCTCTTCTTTTTTTTCTCCTCCTCCTCCTCCTCCTATTCCTCTTCCTCCTCCTCCTCCTCCTCCTCCTATTCCTCCTTCTCCTCCTCTTCCTCCTCCTCCTCGCGGCCCCGGGGGGCTCGAGGCTTCCGAGCAGGCTGCTTCAAGTTGCTCGTCCTCGTTGCAGCTGGCCCTGTCAGCAGAGTGTCTGTCGGGGTGGGCCGTCGGTCTGGTCGGCCCCATGGGGGCCAGGCTCCGCGAGACACAGGCGGCACCGAGACGGGCGATCATCCTCGCGCCTTCGCGCCCAGGGCCGTGGGGCGCGACTCGCGACTGCCCTTCGCGCCCCTATAGTTTGTGTTGCTGCTCTTGTACTTATGCCACCTTTTTTTTGCATCAAAAAGATACCTGCACATCTGCACACACACACACATATATATATATATATATATGTATATATATAATATACATATACACATAGAGATGCATCTATCTATACATAAAAAAGAATATGTATGTATATAGATACAACCGATGATCTTACCTATATGTGTACATCCGTAACCGTGTATCCTCGAGGCACGAGGTTGAATTATCCTCAGGCTCTTCATGTGTTCTCTGCCCCCCGTCCTCAGGACTCGGGCATTCTAGCATTCTAAAGGCAGGGGCCCCAAACATCTCAAATTTCGTGGGCGCTCCCGCGCGCTCTTGGGCTGCCTCGCGTGACTTCTCCAAAAGCCAGGGGGGCCCAAGACGGGCCAAGAGGTCCCCAGAAAGCGCCCACGAGGGTCCAAGAGGCCTCCAAGACAGCCCAAGAGCGCTCCAAGACGCCCAAGATGGTCCCAAGACGGCCCAAAAGAACCACCAAGAGCGATCCAAGAGGACCCACAAGAGGGCCCAAGGAGGCAAACATCATTGATTCTACTTATGGTTTCCGATGTTTTTCGCGTTCTCGCCTTTTCGGGCTCCCGACGCTCCAAGATGGCCCCAGAGGCCCCCAAGACAGCCCCAAGACGGTCCAAGAGGCCCCCAAGAGGGCCCGAAAACAGTCCAAGAGGGCACCCAAAAGCAGCCGAAGAGGCGCCCGAGATCGCCCAAGAGCCCAAACGGGCCCTAAGACGGCCCCAAGAGGGGGAGCACGAATCGAGAATTCGAGCCGTCTGCCCCGAGAGGCATGCCCCCAAGAGAGCCCAAGAGGTCCCCTGGAGGCCCCCCAAGAGGCCCCAAAGTATGCCCCACGAGGCACCCAAACGGTCCCCCAGAGGCCTCAACACTGCCTCCAAGAGGCCCCCGAGATGCCTCCCACGATATCCAAACGAACATCCAAGAGGCCCCTGACCCACAACCCAGGCACGGTGGCGGAATGGGCCCAAGGCCACTATAGATACATCTATGCGTGAATGTATTGTATATCTATCTGCATCGGTTCCAAGCCACAAAATCGGCAACGCGTTAGTACACGCAATCATCAACACAACCCTCTGTTGTTCCAGACCGCGGCGTCCAGGAGGGGCCACCTCCGAGCCCTCGGCCTCCTCAAACTAGAAACGGGCCCAAGGCTCATGTTGCTCCCATCGTACTTAAGGACACCATCCCCCCAAAAAATCGAGCACCCAGAAAAATATCGAAACAATGCCGACCGAGTATCGCTTTCCAGGGCCCGACACGTGAAAACCATCAAGTTTCGGTACTTTCTTGGTGCACGAAATTCTTTTTGGTGATCAAGGCTAAAATAGGTTGGAACATCATGACCCGAGGCCCCAGGGGGGGGGTGGGGGCGCCCACAGCGCGGTCGGATCATGAGGATGCGCGGTAAGGACGCACGGCCCTCTGAGGCCCAACGCGCAGCCCAAGTCGGAAGCCAGTGGCCCCTGGCCAAGGGCCAGGATGGGCCGAGAGGTAAGGGCGCCCGTGGAACACTTGAGGGGGCCCAGGGACACGCAAATAAATACACGCAAATAACAGGATTCCCAACCTTTTTCAGTATTTCTGGACTTTCATGTTTTCTAAGGAGTCGACAATTAATTGTGTCTGTGTGCTTTCCCCCTCCTGAGCCCTGCTCACTGTAATGAAGCGGATTGGCTGCATGCTGAGGCCACACAGAGGCGCTGCGCGTCACCAGGCCGACTTGGCCGATTTGCCCCTTCTCTTGGCACCCAGGCCGCACGACTTGACCGAGCACGGCCGGACGAGCAGTTGCCGCCTGCTTCAGGTTCTCCCTGGTGATGAAGCCGCTGTTGTCCACGTCGAACCGGTGGAACGTTTTCTCGCGGCGCGGGGCGGTCCGTGAGGGGGAAATGCTCTTCAGGCCCAGGGCCTCCGAGGGGCTTTGCCCCTCCAGGCCGTGGCCCCCAGGCCTCTCGACCCCTTCCCTCGAGTTGGGCGTGTCCTCCCTACAGGCGGATTTTGGACGAAGCATAAAACACAATCGAAACAATATATGCCCAAATCGCCAGAAATAGTACAACATCGTCCCCAGACTGCTGTTTGACAATCTTTGGCTATTCCTCCTGCAGGAGCACACGCCTGACGTATGCCTTCCCATGGGCAGTCCCTTCCACACCGCGTGGTCCGCAGACCGGCTCCGGAGGCGGGGGAACTCGTAAGCTGTCGTCTCTCGCCCGCTGCGTGGCCGCTTCCACGGTGCTGTCGGCAGGTCCGAGGGGACAGCCATGGCGAGGAGTCCTCAGCCACGCGCAGAGAAGGGTCCCAAACCCCCTCGGGCAATGAAAAAAGCATGACGGAAGGTTTTTTGCTGTTCTCGGCCTCTGGGGACCCTTACCGGCCCTCGGGACCGTCAAAGAACGACTCAGGATGAAAAACCGGTCCAGAGGACTGGGTCGACACCTCCAGGGGTCGACGTAATGAAAAATTCATGACGTCGGGGGTCGGGGGTGGGGGTAGGGGGCAGGGCTTCTTAGAAGCACCCCTGCTTCTTAGAAGGCCCAGGCCTTATCCATAGATGTGTGGCCGGCGCCTTCTAAGAAGCAGCCTCCCTCTAAGAATCCCTCCCCCCTCCCTCCACCCTCTTGTGCGCGCCGCCAAAATCAGGTGGAGGGGGGACGAGGAGGGGGGCCCAACGTTACATGAGGGGCGGATGGAGGAGACAAATGAGGAAGATAGTGAGGACCAGGGACAAATGTCCGACGTCCTCCGCCGACCCCTCCGTGGCGAGGCCCGTTTTGGAGCGTCCGATGTCGACAGGATAGCGTGACCAGGTGATTCATGTCGGCGACTTACACAACGAGGGGGTTGGGACGATTCAAAACACACATAATTATCTGCGGCTTGAAGCTGTGCTATGTCGGAAAGGACGATCGGCGCTGCGGTCGTCTTCTAGCTCTTCGCGCCGCTGGCGATCCCAGCTCGGGGGTTGCCAAGAGGAGCCCCCGGCAAGACGAAGCCAGGACGAGGACAAATCCGGGTGAGGATGAGGTCTGGCGGTTCTGGAAGATGTCTCGGGCGCCGTGGCCTTCTCATAGCGTTTCAGAACGCTCTGGGAGCGTTCCGGAACGCTCTGGAACGGACTTATTCTCGTCCTGGCCCCGTCTGACCCAGGCGCCCCTAGCTCTTCGCCTGGGGCCCTCTGGGCCTTGTGAGGGGTGCCCTGGGTGCCCTGGTGCTCTCCTGGGACATCCTGGGGACACCTCTGGCAACACCCGACTGGCGTTAGGTCGGGCATGTCCCCCTACAGGTTTTTTTTTTTGGGGGGGGGGGAAAAGAGAGACGTCAACACATATTCAGAAATGGTCAGGAAATGCTCGAAGCACTCGATACTCAAAATACTCGAATCAGACTACGTCTGCCTATTTTTGAACATCGAACACTCCTCCTGTAGAGGGACAGGCCCGACTTAAGACTGGCGCCAGGCCAACGCCGCCCTGAAGATGCACTCGGCCGGCGGCACGGGCTCGGGCGGGTGCCAGCAAACTGCGCTCAGCCTGGCCCGGACATCCGACGACGAGCTCCTCCCCCTCCTGCTCCTCCTCCTCCTCCTCCTTCTCCTCCTCCTCCTGCTGCTCCTCCTCCTCCTCCTCCTCCCTTCCTCCTCTTCCTCCCCCTCCCCCTCCCCTCCTCCTCCTCCTCCTCCTCCTCCTCCTCCTCTCCTCCTGCTCCTGCTCCTGCTCCTGCTCCTGCTCCTGCTCCTGCTCCTCCTCCTCCTCCTCCTCCTCCTCCTCCTCCTCCTCCTCCTCTCCTCCTCCCTCCTCCTCCTCCTCCTCCTCCCTCCTCCTCCTCCTCCTCCTCCTCCTCCTCCTCCTCCTCCTCCTCCTCCCTCCTCCTCCTCCCCCTCCCCCTCCCCTCCCCCTCCCCCTCCCCCTCCCCCTCCCCCTCCCCCTCCCCCTCCCCCTCCCCCTCCCCCTCCCCCTCCCCTCCTCCTCTCTCCTCCTCCTCCTCCTCCTCCTCCTCCTCCTCCTCCTCCTCTCCTCCTCCTCCTCCTCCTCACAATTACTCAATATGCATACTACTCTCCCTCTTCCCCTGATGACGGTTTGAAAGTATTAGCCCCCCCCCCGCGTACTGTTTTTTACACACAGGATTCCCCGGAGTTGGGTTTTCGCATGCATTTTTTCCAAAATGCCGCTCTCGCTGAGGCGCCGGCCTCATTTTCGGGCCCCGCTCGTTCCGAATCGTGCTCCCGCTGCAGCGCTGGCCTCATTTCCGCGCTTCCGCTCGTTCCGAATCGTGCTCCCGCTGCAGCGCTGGCCTCGCTGCAGCGCTGGCGCTGGCGTCATTTCCTGTGCCATGCCACGGCATGCAATGCAATGCTAGGTTGATACTACGCTTTGCGGTGCTCTTCTACGCCATGCAATGAGGGATGGGTGGGAGGGGTAGGATGTCAGATATGACGCGAGCACACCTAGCTTGCCCCCCTTTCCTCTCCCCCTCCCCCTCCCCCTCCTCCTCCTCCTCCTGCTCCTCCTCCTCCTCCTCCTCTTCCTCCCTCTACTGCGCGGCCCCAGAATTTGGCGCCCCGCAACGGTGCGGCGACGGCCCGCGCGGTGGCCTCGGGACCCCACGAGACCTCACCGCACGGTCCATCACCGCACGGTCTTGGGACCGCGGAGGCCCCCGTCGCCCGAGACATTCTCGGAGAGGGACTCGAGTTATGTTGCTCCCATCGTACTAAAGACCACATCCCAGAAATAATTTCGAGCATCTGGAAAAGTATCGAAAGAGTGTCGAAAGAGTGTCGAAACAGTGTCGGGCAAGTGTCCCCCAGGGCCCGACACGTTAAAACCCTCGAGTTTCGGTATCTTTTGCTGGCGCTCGAAATTATTTCTGATGATCAAGGCTAGAGTAGGTTGGAACATCATAAGACTCGAGCCCCAAAACCGTGCGGTGACCTCGAAGCCCCCCGACTCACCGCACGGTGTGGTCACCACACTGTCTGGGGGCCCCCGACAGAGGTCCCGGCCGTTCCCCCGGGGCCACCCGCTGTTCGCCCCGGACGCAGCTTGACGGCCCCGGGGCCCGAAAGCGGGAAGAACCACGGGTCGAACAAAACTCGGGGGCGCGCAAACATGGATCAGGGATCCATGGACTTGGCGCGCAGTCGCCAAATCCATGGATCGGGGGAGGTGCCCTCCCCAAAATCCGGCCGGTGCCGCCTCGCTCGGCGGCGGAAATCCGCGATCTCCTATGGAAACGAGACCCGTCGCTAATCCACGCCCCCTTGATCCATGTTTGCGAGCGCTTGAAAAATTACACCTGAGAAAAACCCCAATCAGTGGATGGTTTTCGCTGAGGAGTTCGACTGGGAACCGGGGAGCCCAGGAACCCAGAACCCACCGAAATCGGCCCAGACCCAATAACCGGGAACCCAGAACCGGGAGCCGGGGAACCCTGCCTGCTACCAAAATCGGCGGGAAACTTTCGCCAACTCTTTCAGCTTCCGCTAGGACCCCGGCTGCCGGCGCGGGGGCAAGCCCTGCTCCTGCTGTACGACATGCGCTGCGCGGGGCGCAGCGTATCCGAATTCGCGGCGCTGGCGGCGCGGCGTATCGCGCAGCTCCCCAAGGTGCCCGACTGAATCGGGCGCCTCTTCGGGGCGCTTGCGGCAGCGCTTGTCGCCCGACCCTGCTCGTCCAAACAAAAAGCAAGCACCGATTGGGGAACTACCGATGGAGCTCTGTCAGCGCGCCCAAAAAGGTCTGGCCGGGAGTTGCCCCTCGCAGAGACCTGCAGAGCCAGGCCTCCGGAGCGGGCTCTTCGGGGGCGCGGGGGCGGCCGAGCGCCCCCCCCCCGAGGCTCGCTGCGCCCCCGAGGCGGGACGCCCCGAGGCCACTCGCCCGAGAGGTGGGCCTTCCTGGGCGGGCTGGCGGATGCCACCCAAAGCTATAGAGGTCAAAAAATCAGCCCCCGTACCCAGACCCCCTCGGGTAGTGCAAAAGTCATGACAGAAGGTTTTTGCTATTTTCGGCCTCTGGGGCCCTCGCCGGCCCTCGGGACCGTCAAAAAACGACTCAGCATGAAAAACCGGTCCTGGGAAAAGGGTCGAGACCTCCAGGGGTTGACGTAATGAAAGAATCATGACGTCGGGGGTCTGGGTAATAACCACCCCGACACGCGAAGCCAGTCAGTAGACGCGCTCCAAGGAGAGACCGAGCATGGCAAGGCTTTCAGTAAACGCTCGGGGCCGTTCAGTCAACGCCAGTTGTCTGGTCCGGGTGGTGTTTCCTCCCTTGAAGCAAGGCAAGGCGACCCCTGGCACAGAGTGGCCCACAGGGGGCAGGACCTCAGATGGTGCGCGCTCCGTGCGCACCGGTGAAAGGTGCAGAACATTCGTCACGCGGTGCCCTCCACTGTGCACACTCAGAAGTGCGGCTCTCCCGAATGGGACCGGAGTAGATGGTGTCAGAGGATGGCATCGCATCGCTAATGCATCGGCGACGTCGGGATGGAGAATGCCGGCGATGCATCGCTCCTGATCGCGCTGCATCGCCGGTGCTTCGACGAGGCGGCGCGATCCTCCGACCCCACTCTCCGGCCCTTCTTGGACTATGCACCTGGAGCTGGGCAGGCGTAAACGCGTGGGCCCGCCTGGATCAGATCGTCGTGCATCTTTATTCGGGTGGCGGCCATGGCCGCCAGGAATTCGGAGTAGTGGATCTCCTCCTAGCACCGGCGGGCGAGCGGCGAGCAGAGTCAGGATTCACGATGAAGAGAGAGGGTCCTTGAAGGAAGCGGGTCCTGGACCCTGCGGCGATTTTTGACTGTGCCAGGGCCCGGGGAGGGCGAGCTCGGACTCTGCGACCAGGCCCCGCCATCACCCGGTCTGCACTGGTTCAGGTGCGTTTCGGAGTGGCCGCCTGCTCATGGCCACTTCGCACGACTCCTGTTGGAGCCTGAGGCCGCTGCACACCGCGTGAAATGCTACATACTACATGCTACATGCTCTGAGCGTGATGCCCTCTTTCGCCATCCTCCGCGGCCGCTCTGCGTATTGTACTACACCTGCTCATCTGCTGCTACAATTAGCAATACGTACCATACGACAAGTCCTGATACATCTCCTACTACGGCCACCCTTTCAAATCCCACTACATCTCCGACTGTAGCTCCAACTGCGACTCCTACTGCAACACACCACACACTGCAACTATTGCTACTGCTGCCCGATCAACTCCGAATGCAACTCCTATTACGTGTGTTACGACTGCAACTCCTGGAACAAAAACCTGCAATGCAACTCTTACTACTACTTTTCCGGCTACACCTCATACTACAAATACTGCTGCACATATTCCTGCATAGCCGCACACATATCATAGTACGGGTCACTGTTGTATGTGCCCTACGGGCATGAGAACGCAACAAGTCCGATTAACGCTTTCGACACAATCCTTCCTACCGACTAAACCTCCTCCTACGGCTCCGAATGCACATCCCAATCCTGTTCGTGTCAGCTGCAGTTCCCAACGAAGCTCTTGATGCAACTCCATTGCATCCCAATGTTGCCAGAAGTGGCGTCGTTGCTCATACCCCCTGACAAGATTGGGCTTGGCCTCCGTTCCCTGCTTTCTTATCGTTCCTCCTCCTCATGCTCTGCCCCCCAAGGTGATGGGATGGACCAAGATGAGGACGATAATGGAACATAAGAACGGCGAGGGGGAAACCGAATCGTCAAAACACAATTGCACAGGCAACGACGATACTGAGGATCAGGAAGGGGACGATGGCGACGGCGCGGTATAGAACCAGAGCGAGTGAAGCGACGGGCGGAGATCGGAGATCGGGACGGAAAAAGGGAGGCAAATATTTATGTGGATATCGACACATGTGTATATATATATATATATATATTCGCATACACACATACATCGGTAGTTGGGGGGCGACATCGCCGTTGACCGGAAAACCCCAACAACGGGAACTCGGTTTCGGATGCAAAAGGCCGCCCTTTCCGCCCCTGGTGGGCGCGCGGCGGCCCGGGGTTTCCTGCGTTAGTGTCCTGTCGTGTCCCGTTGGTGTCCCGCTGGTGTCGGGTCGGTGCTGTGTCCCGCCTCGGTATCGATGGCGAAGTCGGCCATGAAATCGGCAGCGACATCGCCATAATGGGATGAACAGTGAGATCAAAAGTGAGACCGAACATGGAGTTTATTGTGACAACGGCGTGAGATCAATCGTGATATCGGAAAAAAGGAATCGATTGTGATATCGGTCGTGGGATCGAACGCGAGATCGATCGCGAGAGCGATCTGGACATTACATCGCCTCACAACATCGTCATCGCGCGTCGTCGCTAACACGACGGCGCGCCACCAGCGTCGTCATCATCACATCCACCGCATTTGCTAGCAGTTGGTTCTTTCCTCCCTACCCGCCAATCTCCTTACCACCCGAAGTGTGGTCGTATAGGTATATCTTCTCCCGCCGCCGCGCAGGAGAGCGGTCGTCGAAGCGCGCGGGGCGCGGCCGGCGTGCGCGGGGGGGGCGGGGGCGCAAAAGGCCAGGGCCCCTCCCTGGAGCGCGCGCTGTCCTTTCGGAGGCCTGGGGCGCGGCCCAGCGGCGGAAACTTGCCGAGCCCCCCGCGCTCCGCCCGCCAGCCACTGCCCCGTGCCCTCCTTCGGGCGATGGCGGGCCTCATCGAAGATCCGCCGTGCCTATCCGACGCAGCACGCTCGCTGCTCCGATAGGACGTCGGCGAGGCTCTTGCAACTGATGTTCCAACATTTGTGCCCCACCGATCCGCTCTCGCCCTTCAAGCAGAGCGGCCCCCGTACTCAGTGGAACCCCTTGCCGTCGGCCATGGGCGCCCTGCTGTCCAGCGCGGCCTGCGGGCTAAACCTCGCGCCCGCCGGCTTGCGAGGTTCTGGCACGACAGGTATTCATATGGCCACCGGAAGCATTTTTTCGCGTATTCTGTCGCGGCCGCTGGCGCCGGGCCCCCACCGCCGAGCGCTATCTCCAGACCGCCGCCGCCTCGCCCGTTCTGCCTTCAACGCGCGCGCTGCGTACTTCGCCGCCGCCGGAGACGGCCTGGCCGCTTCTTTTCACGCCGCGGGCCCTTCTGCGCGGTTAACGCAGGTTTCGGCCGCTCGCCCAAGCCTTGTCATTGCGCAAGAGCGTTGACCCTGGGCACGGCCGCAAACGACCTTCGCCTGAGCGGCGGCGCTCGGCCCGCGCGCGCCCGGGGGAGGTGCCCAACCTCTTGCGCCCCCCCCCCCCCGCGCGCGTCGGCCGCGCCCCGCGCGCGTCAACGACCGCTCTTCCGTGCGGAGTCGGGAGGATACGCTCCAATATTCCCCTTTCTCCACCGTCGTTGCAGCTATTTCCTCCCTGCCCTCTCCTCCCATCCTCGACCGCGCCGGGGTTGAGCCGCCGCCCACTGCGGTCAAGTGTGGCCAACGCGATGTGCGAGTGCTCCAGGAGCCAGCGCGCGAAGGCGTCGATGGATTTCGAGCGCCGATCGAGGCGAGGAGAAATCAGGTCATAATCGCGCGCGAAAATGGTTGCGGGCGGCGCGAGGTCGGGCAAGACTAAGCCCCGGGCTGCCCGCGGCGGGGGCGCTGGCCGCCGACGGGGCGGCGACCGCGGTGGCGGGCGCGGCGGCCGCGGGCGAAATGGGCCGCGCGCGCCCCGCAGAGTCAGCCCTTTCGCGACGGCGGCGCGCTGCTTCGCCGCCGCGCGATTGCGCGTGGCGCGTGCGGCCGGCTCCCACCTGGAAGCGTAGACCGGAGGCAGCCGCGCCTCGCGCCCGCCGAACTCGATCCCGGAGTTGACGGCGACGTCCTCGCGCGTGGTCGCGAAGGGCGCGCCCGCGCCGAGGGCGGCGCGGCGCGCCGAAGCCTCCTCCTCGGACTGCGACGCGTCTCCTGCCTTGAGGCCCTGCAAACCGAAGGGTTCCCGAAGCCCCTGTGGCCGCGGGAAGGTCGCGATCGCCCGCGACATCTCGCGGCGCCGCCCCGACGGGGAAGGCCCGCGGGCGACTCTGCCGGGACTGCGCGTTCGAGAGCGCGCCGCAGCTCCGGGGGCTTGCCGCGCGGCCGTCAGTCCATGGCGGAAGGCGCGGCGCCGTCCAGACTGGCGCGCCGAAAGGAATCGAAAACGGCGGCGACGGCCGCTGCCCGACGGCGCTGGGCAACGTCGTTCCCATGACTCCCCGGATGGACCCCTGAGCAAGGGGGTCGAGTGCCCATGGGGGCGACGGCGCTCGCGGCGAGCAGTTCGCCCGAGCTTCCCGCGGGGCGCGCGCCGCCCGCCGTGGGCGAGCGGCGGTGCTGCAGGGGGGCGCGGCGGAGGCAGATCAGGGGGGGCGAGCTCTCGACCTCGTCGGGCCCCCCTGGCGCGAACCCGCGGAGCCGCGACGCGGCGCTCTGGAGCGCGTCGCCCCAGTCCGGCGACCGACGGGCGGCGGTCAATGGCTCGCCTGCCGCCTCCAAGCGCCGACCCAACGCGCCCGCTGCGCCCGGCGGCAGCGCCGACTCCGCAAACTGACGCTCGGGCGGGCCGCCGGGCGCCCGAGCGGCGCGAGCCAGGGCCACCAGGGAGAGCAGAACCGAGGCAGGGCTCGCAGCCGCTGGGCGGCGCTTGGGGCGCGGGCGGAAGCGCGGGCGCGAGCCCGCGCCTCGGCGAGGCGTGGCGGGCCGCCGCCTCGGGCGCCGCGTCCGAGGACGCCCCGACACCCCCGCCGACGGCGCGCCCTTCTCCCTGCGGGGCCGCGACGGCATCGCTGGATTGGGACATGCCTGCCGGCGGCGGAAGAGCCACCTCCGACTCGCCAGCCGGCGCGGCGCCCGAAGCACTCGCGGTGGGCCCGAAGCTCGAAGAACACCGCCGGGCTTGACAAGTGCGTCAACGCATGAATGGTGAGGCAGGCTGGTCGTTCTCCGCCGCCTGCGCGAGTGGATCCGCGACTCCATCGCGCGGGTGGAGGATTGCCCCTGCCGCGTTCACGCGTTGGGAGCGGCTGCGAAGACAGAGGATCCTGCCGACGGGGGTCTTCTGAGGCGGCGGAAGAGTTGCCCTCTGAAAGGCATGCGCCCTCGCGAATTGGCAGCCGGCGACTTCCTCGCGAATCTCCAGAACCTTGGCAGAGTCGTTGCTTTGATTCGAGAGATGCCGATGGGGCTTGGGGGCACCTTCCAAGGGGGTGCTGACGAGATGTTCTGAAAGGGGTAAGGCTTTCTGCGGGTTTCAACACGGCAACGAACTTCGTTCGTGCACAGAGACTCCGTGTCTCCCATTCGCGCGTGCCCGCCATGGCCGCCGCGCCCAGCGCGGCGCTTTGTCATCGCGGGCGCTGCCTTGGTCGACATCGAGCACCTGCAGATTTTCATGGCACCGTTGAAGTTTGAATCCTGTTCCGAACGCAGAACTCATGGCGGGCGAGCCATCGTCGGCGTCCAGACGTCAGGAGGAAGGGCTCGCCGCGAAACGCGTGACAGTTTAATTAGCCCTTCGTTTCGACGCATATGAAGACATGATGAACGGCCCCAATGGTAGAGGAATGTGGGAATATTTGGCAATGCGATTGCAATCAGGCAACAACCCGAATATGATAATTGGAGCGGCCGGTCTGCGCCGGCATCCTGGGGCGACGGCGGTCGAGTAAGATTGGACTGCGATATGCCAAGAAAGCATGCTGTTCTGACCCATCGTCGAAGTATCAGCAA